ATCAGGAACCCGCGTACCTCTATCTGGAGCACCGGGGACCCCTGGATCATCACCGGGAAGTCCGCAAGCAGCTGGAGCAGGTGGTGAAGGTTCAGCGACAGCTGCCCCATTGGCTGGAGCCACAGGGCCAAGTGTTACCGGATCAGGAGCCAGCACACCTTTATCTGGAGCGCCTGGGACCCCTGCGTCAGCCAGCATAAGCCCAGAAGCAAGGGCAAGACCCCCGGTCAGTTCCGAGTCAACGGTCACATTGTCTGGAGCAACAGGGCCTAGTTTGCTAAGGTCTGGAACCAGTGTACCTTTATCTGGAGGAGCAGTGACCCCTGGGTCATCCCCAGGAGGGTCAGCAGCACCTGCAAGCCCTGGGGCAGGTTCAGGAACAACTGTCCAATTCCCTGGAGCCAGAGGGACTGGTGTCACAGCATCAGGAGCCAGCTTACCCTCATCTGGAGCACCAGGGAGCCCTGGGTCAGCACCAGGAAGGTCAGGCGCAACTGCAGTATCTGGTGAAGGTTCTCAGCCCACTGTCCCATCATCTGGAGCAACAGGGACTAATGCTGGACAATCAGGCGCCCGGTTCCCCTCATCTGGAATACCAGCCACAGCTGGATCCACGACCGGAGGGTCAGCAGTAGCTGGGACACCTGGCGTCGGTTCCCAGCCAACGGCCACACCGTCGGGAGCTGCGAGGACGACTGCTGTCGGGTTCGGAACCAGCCTGCCTCCAGGTGAAACGTCGGAGAGCAGTTCGTCAGTGCCCGGAGGATCAGAAACAAGTCAACCACCTGGTGTGGTCTCAGAGCCCACCACCCTTTTGCCTGGGGTGGCAAGCCCCAAGGCCACGGGATCCGAGGCCAGTTCACCTTCAACTGCCGTGTCAGGGTTGCCTGGCTCCACACAAGGAGGATTTGCAGCCACTGGAGGGAGTGGTGCAGGCTCAACGCCTACTGCCCCGTTATCAGGAGAAAGAAGGGCCAGTGTTCTATCAGGAACCCGCGTACCTCTATCTGGAGCACCGGGGACCCCTGGATCATCACCGGGAAGTCCGCAAGCAGCTGGAGCAGGTGGTGAAGGTTCAGCGACAGCTGCCCCATTGGCTGGAGCCACAGGGCCAAGTGTTACCGGATCAGGAGCCAGCACACCTTTATCTGGAGCGCCTGGGACCCCTGCGTCAGCCAGCATAAGCCCAGAAGCAAGGGCAAGACCCCCGGTCAGTTCCGAGTCAACGGTCACATTGTCTGGAGCAACAGGGCCTAGTTTGCTAAGGTCTGGAACCAGTGTACCTTTATCTGGAGGAGCAGTGACCCCTGGGTCATCCCCAGGAGGGTCAGCAGCACCTGCAAGCCCTGGGGCAGGTTCAGGAACAACTGTCCAATTCCCTGGAGCCAGAGGGACTGGTGTCACAGCATCAGGAGCCAGCTTACCCTCATCTGGAGCACCAGGGAGCCCTGGGTCAGCACCAGGAAGGTCAGGCGCAACTGCAGTATCTGGTGAAGGTTCTCAGCCCACTGTCCCATCATCTGGAGCAACAGGGACTAATGCTGGACAATCAGGCGCCCGGTTCCCCTCATCTGGAATACCAGCCACAGCTGGATCCACGACCGGAGGGTCAGCAGTAGCTGGGACACCTGGCGTCGGTTCCCAGCCAACGGCCACACCGTCGGGAGCTGCGAGGACGACTGCTGTCGGGTTCGGAACCAGCCTGCCTCCAGGTGAAACATCGGAGAGCAGTTCGTCAGTGCCCGGAGGATCAGAAACAAGTCAACCACCTGGTGTGGTCTCAGAGCCCACCACCCTTTTGCCTGGGGTGGCAAGCCCCAAGGCCACGGGATCCGAGGCCAGTTCACCTTCAACTGCCGTGTCAGGGTTGCCTGGCTCCACACAAGGAGGATTTGCAGCCACTGGAGGGAGTGGTGCAGGCTCAACGCCTACTGCCCCGTTATCAGGAGAAAGAAGGGCCAGTGTTCTATCAGGAACCCGCGTACCTCTATCTGGAGCTCCGGGGACCCCTGGATCATCACCGGGAAGTCCGCAAGCAGCTGGAGCAGGTGGTGAAGGTTCAGCGACAGCTGCCCCATTGGCTGGAGCCACAGGGCCAAGTGTTACCGGATCAGGAGCCAGCACACCTTTATCTGGAGCGCCTGGGACCCCTGCGTCAGCCAGCATAAGCCCAGAAGCAAGGGCAAGACCCCCGGTCAGTTCCGAGTCAACGGTCACATTGTCTGGAGCAACAGGGCCTAGTTTGCTAAGGTCTGGAACCAGTGTACCTTTATCTGGAGGAGCAGTGACCCCTGGGTCATCCCCAGGAGGGTCAGCAGCACCTGCAAGCCCTGGGGCAGGTTCAGGAACAACTGTCCAATTCCCTGGAGCCAGAGGGACTGGTGTCACAGCATCAGGAGCCAGCTTACCCTCATCTGGAGCACCAGGGAGCCCTGGGTCAGCACCAGGAAGGTCAGGCGCAACTGCAGTATCTGGTGAAGGTTCTCAGCCCACTGTCCCATCATCTGGAGCAACAGGGACTAATGCTGGACAATCAGGCGCCCGGTTCCCCTCATCTGGAATACCAGCCACAGCTGGATCCACGACCGGAGGGTCAGCAGTAGCTGGGACACCTGGCGTCGGTTCCCAGCCAACGGCCACACCGTCGGGAGCTGCGAGGACGACTGCTGTCGGGTTCGGAACCAGCCTGCCTCCAGGTGAAACATCGGAGAGCAGTTCGTCAGTGCCCGGAGGATCAGAAACAAGTCAACCACCTGGTGTGGTCTCAGAGCCCACCACCCTTTTGCCTGGGGTGGCAAGCCCCAAGGCCACGGGATCCGAGGCCAGTTCACCTTCAACTGCCGTGTCAGGGTTGCCTGGCTCCACACAAGGAGGATTTGCAGCCACTGGAGGGAGTGGTGCAGGCTCAACGCCTACTGCCCCGTTATCAGGAGAAAGAAGGGCCAGTGTTCTATCAGGAACCCGCGTACCTCTATCTGGAGCACCGGGGACCCCTGGATCATCACCGGGAAGTCCGCAAGCAGCTGGAGCAGGTGGTGAAGGTTCAGCGACAGCTGCCCCATTGGCTGGAGCCACAGGGCCAAGTGTTACCGGATCAGGAGCCAGCACACCTTTATCTGGAGCGCCTGGGACCCCTGCGTCAGCCAGCATAAGCCCAGAAGCAAGGGCAAGACCCCCGGTCAGTTCCGAGTCAACGGTCACATTGTCTGGAGCAACAGGGCCTAGTTTGCTAAGGTCTGGAACCAGTGTACCTTTATCTGGAGGAGCAGTGACCCCTGGGTCATCCCCAGGAGGGTCAGCAGCACCTGCAAGCCCTGGGGCAGGTTCAGGAACAACTGTCCAATTCCCTGGAGCCAGAGGGACTGGTGTCACAGCATCAGGAGCCAGCTTACCCTCATCTGGAGCACCAGGGAGCCCTGGGTCAGCACCAGGAAGGTCAGGCGCAACTGCAGTATCTGGTGAAGGTTCTCAGCCCACTGTCCCATCATCTGGAGCAACAGGGACTAATGCTGGACAATCAGGCGCCCGGTTCCCCTCATCTGGAATACCAGCCACAGCTGGATCCACGACCGGAGGGTCAGCAGTAGCTGGGACACCTGGCGTCGGTTCCCAGCCAACGGCCACACCGTCGGGAGCTGCGAGGACGACTGCTGTCGGGTTCGGAACCAGCCTGCCTCCAGGTGAAACATCGGAGAGCAGTTCGTCAGTGCCCGGAGGATCAGAAACAAGTCAACCACCTGGTGTGGTCTCAGAGCCCACCACCCTTTTGCCTGGGGTGGCAAGCCCCAAGGCCACGGGATCCGAGGCCAGTTCACCTTCAACTGCCGTGTCAGGGTTGCCTGGCTCCACACAAGGAGGATTTGCAGCCACTGGAGGGAGTGGTGCAGGCTCAACGCCTACTGCCCCGTTATCAGGAGAAAGAAGGGCCAGTGTTCTATCAGGAACCCGCGTACCTCTATCTGGAGCACCGGGGACCCCTGGATCATCACCGGGAAGTCCGCAAGCAGCTGGAGCAGGTGGTGAAGGTTCAGCGACAGCTGCCCCATTGGCTGGAGCCACAGGGCCAAGTGTTACCGGATCAGGAGCCAGCACACCTTTATCTGGAGCGCCTGGGACCCCTGCGTCAGCCAGCATAAGCCCAGAAGCAAGGGCAAGACCCCCGGTCAGTTCCGAGTCAACGGTCACATTGTCTGGAGCAACAGGGCCTAGTTTGCTAAGGTCTGGAACCAGTGTACCTTTATCTGGAGGAGCAGTGACCCCTGGGTCATCCCCAGGAGGGTCAGCAGCACCTGCAAGCCCTGGGGCAGGTTCAGGAACAACTGTCCAATTCCCTGGAGCCAGAGGGACTGGTGTCACAGCATCAGGAGCCAGCTTACCCTCATCTGGAGCACCAGGGAGCCCTGGGTCAGCACCAGGAAGGTCAGGCGCAACTGCAGTATCTGGTGAAGGTTCTCAGCCCACTGTCCCATCATCTGGAGCAACAGGGACTAATGCTGGACAATCAGGCGCCCGGTTCCCCTCATCTGGAATACCAGCCACAGCTGGATCCACGACCGGAGGGTCAGCAGTAGCTGGGACACCTGGCGTCGGTTCCCAGCCAACGGCCACACCGTCGGGAGCTGCGAGGACGACTGCTGTCGGGTTCGGAACCAGCCTGCCTCCAGGTGAAACATCGGAGAGCAGTTCGTCAGTGCCCGGAGGATCAGAAACAAGTCAACCACCTGGTGTGGTCTCAGAGCCCACCACCCTTTTGCCTGGGGTGGCAAGCCCCAAGGCCACGGGATCCGAGGCCAGTTCACCTTCAACTGCCGTGTCAGGGTTGCCTGGCTCCACACAAGGAGGATTTGCAGCCACTGGAGGGAGTGGTGCAGGCTCAACGCCTACTGCCCCGTTATCAGGAGAAAGAAGGGCCAGTGTTCTATCAGGAACCCGCGTACCTCTATCTGGAGCACCGGGGACCCCTGGATCATCACCGGGAAGTCCGCAAGCAGCTGGAGCAGGTGGTGAAGGTTCAGCGACAGCTGCCCCATTGGCTGGAGCCACAGGGCCAAGTGTTACCGGATCAGGAGCCAGCACACCTTTATCTGGAGCGCCTGGGACCCCTGCGTCAGCCAGCATAAGCCCAGAAGCAAGGGCAAGACCCCCGGTCAGTTCCGAGTCAACGGTCACATTGTCTGGAGCAACAGGGCCTAGTTTGCTAAGGTCTGGAACCAGTGTACCTTTATCTGGAGGAGCAGTGACCCCTGGGTCATCCCCAGGAGGGTCAGCAGCAGCTGCTATCCCTGAGGTTGTTTCCAAAACAACTGTCCATTTTTCTGGAGGAACTGGGACTAATTTTAAAGGAGTAGAAATAAATGGTTCATCACCTGAACGTTCGGAAATACCTGGATCAACACCTGGACTTATGTTTACCTCTAAGACATCTCTACTCAGTTCATCAACAAATGCCCCTTCATCTGCAGTGAGTGGAGCAAGTATAACATCTGATGTATTTTCAGGTACAACTGGGTCATCATCTGGAAAATCCAGTAGCATTTTTATAGGGTCCGCATCAACTGTATCATTACCTCAACAAGTAGGGACATCTGAGTCAACAGATGGACTAGCAGGAGGTGGTAAAATCTCTGTTGTAGATTCTAGGACAATCACTCCATCGTATGGCCCATCAGGAGCAGCTGAATCATCCATATTTGAAATAGGAACCACTTCCACATATTCTGAAGTTACAGGAACCAGTAGATTCTTTCTTGTTGATTTAGGGACAACTAGACCATCATCTGGAGATACAGGGACCAGTGTTACTGAATCTAGAACTAGTGCATCATCAGATGAAGAATCAGGGAAAACTGAATCAACAGCTCGATTAACAAGAACCACTAGGGTCTCACTTGTAGGTTCAGGAACAACTAGACCATCATCTGTAGAAACGAAGACCACAGTTATTCAAACTAGATTTAATGGATCATCAGATGAAGGATCAGGAACTATTGGGTCAGAAGCTGCACTGACAAGAACCACTAGAATCTCTGTTGTAGTTTCAGGGACAACTGGACCATCATCTTTAGAAATGGGAACCACTCTTACTGAATCTATGACTAGTGGATCATCTGGTGAAGGATCAGGGACAACTGGATCAACAGCTGGACTGACCAGAACCACTAGAATCTCAGTTGTAGGTTCAGGGACAACTAGACCATCATCTGGAGAAAGAGGAACCACTGTTTTAAAATCTGGAACTAGTGCAGCATCAGGTGAAAGATCAGGGACAACTGGATTAACAGCTGGATTGACCAGAACCACTAGACTGTTGGTTGCAGATTCAGAGACAACTAGACCACCATCTGGAGATATAGGGGCCACTGCTACTGAATCTAGGACTAGAGGGTCATCAGGTGAAGGATCAGGGAAAACTGGATCAACAACTGGACTTACCAGAACTACTAAGACATCTATTGTTGCTTCTGGGACAAATGCACCATCATCTGCAGTGACAAGAACAATAATATCTGGTGTAGCCTCAAGGACAACTGGACCATCATCTGGAGGAACAGGGACAACTCTTATTGAGTCCAGAACTAGTGGATCACCAAGTGAAGGATTAGGGACATCTGGGTCAACAGATGGACTGACAAGAACCACTAGCATCTCAGTTGTAGGTTCAGGGACAACTGAACTGTCATCTGGAGAAACAGAAACCACTGTTACTGAATCTAGGACTAATGGATCATTAGGTGAAGGATCAGGGAGAACTGGATCAGCAGATGGACTGACAAGAACCACTAGAATCTCTGTAGTAGGCTCAGGAACAACTAGACCATTATCTGGAGAAACAAGGACCACTGTTATTGAATCAGGAACACGTAGAACATCAGCTGAAGGATCACAAACAACCGGATCAGCAGGTGGAATGATAATAGCTACTAGAATATCTAGTGTTCATTTAGGAACAGCTGGTTCTTTACCTGGAGAAACAAGGACCACTGTTATAGGATCAGGAACAAGTGGAAAATCAGGTGAAGTATCAGGGATAACTCGATCACTTGATGAACTGACTACAACCACTAGGTTTTCTAGTGTAGCTTCAGGAACAAGTGCACCATCATCTGGAATGACAAGGGCAACTGTAACATCTGGTGTAGCTTCAAGGACAAGTGAACTATCATCTGAAGAAAAAGGGACCAGTGTTACTGAAACAACCAGTGGATCATCAATTGAAGGATCACAGACAACTGGAACAGCAGGTAGACTGACAATAACTTCCAGAACATCTGTTGCAGTTTCAGGAACAGATGCACCATCATCTGGAACATCAGGGATGATTAGGTCATCAACTGACCTGACTGGAACAACTAAAGTATCTGTTGTAGATGCAGGAACAATAGAACCATCAACTGTAGAATCTTGGACAACTGAGCCCAGAGATTTAGGTTCATCAACCACTGTATTTTCAGCCAGTGCTATAGGAACCACTAGACCTAGAGCATCAGGGGCAAGTAGACCATCTGTTGTAGGTTCAGAGACAGCTGGTCCATTATCTGCCAAAATAGAGACCACTGTTATAAGATCAGGATCAAGTGGATCTTCACTTGAAGGAAGAGGGACACCTGGATCAACAGATAGACTGACAGGAACCACTGCAATCTCTTTTGTAGGCTTTGGAACAACTGGACCATCAGCCAGAGGATCAAGGCCAACTGGGAAAGGAGATATAAGATCACCAACCACTGTATCATCAGTTGATGCTACAGGGAACATTAGATCTGGAGGATCAGGCACAACTGGACCATCTATTGTAGGTTCAGAGACAGTTGGACCACCATCTGGAGAAGCAGGGACCACTGTTACAGGATCAAGAACAAGTGGAAAATCGGCTGAAAGATTAGGGACAACTGTATCAACAGATGGATTGAGAAGAACCACTAGAATCTCTCTTGTAGGTTTAGGCACTACTGGACCATCATCTGGGGTGATGTGGACAACACAAACATCTATTGTAGGTTTAGAGACAACTAGATCATCAACTGGAGTATTAGCGACAACTAGACCATCACCTGGAGGATTATGGACAACTGGGACATCAGTTGAAGGATCTGAGACAACTGGGTCATCAACTGGTAAAATCACAGGAGCCAGGAGAACAGCTTGGGAGTCAGGAAGTGAAGTTGCCACATATGAAGGCAAGTCAATTTAGCCATATTTAGGTAATAATATTCCCCGATGGTGCTAGTGGTAAAGAACTAGCCTGCCAATGCAGGAGACATATGAGATGTGGGTTTGATTCCTGGGTTAGTAAGATTCCCCTGGAGGAGGAAATGGCCAGCCATTCCAGTATTCTTGTCTGGAGAATCCCCATGGACAGAGGAGCCTGGCAGGCTACAGTCCATGGGGTCGCAAAGAGTTGGACCTGACTGCTAATGGTAAGTAAGCAGGGGATGCCAGATGCATTTTTTGGATTTGTTTTCATGCGCACTGGCTATTTAAAAATGCAAAATAAGTAATAATAATTCCAGTTAATACAATGCTTTTAAATATACTGTCTAATTTAAATATTTATGTAAGTATTGCTACCTCATTTTACTCATGAAGAACTTAAAAAAGATATTATATAAGTTTGGTCCAAGTTCTACAGCAAATAAATAGTGAAGACAATATTTCTATCCATTGTTTACTGATTCAAAGTCTGTTCTCTACTACAAGGGCATCTTCCACTAAGGCAAATATACAATGATCTTTAGTTATCCATTAATAAAAAATTTTGCTTTTAATATTTACAAATCTTAAATTTCCCCATTTCTAACTGCAAATAAGAACTACAGCAGCAGATAATAAAAAGAGGTTTACAGATTTTAATGTACTATCAAACTTTGGCCTTTGCCATTCTGAAACTGCAAGATTTGGGACATTTTATTTATTAAAACTAAAATATTATGTTTTACAAATCAAAATTTTATTTCTTAATTTCTTTTTGCAATTATTGCAACATTACACAAAATTCACAAACACTTATAAGGCAATTTTTTCCTAACAATAAATGAATTAAATTCTTTACTCAAGGCTACAGTATATTATCAAAGTTTCCAGACTAGTAATATACTCATATCATGAGCATATTGAGAAAAACATCATTTCTCAGTTTGCAGGTTGTCTAATAGAACCTAGGTTTTAGTAACTAAATTGTCTCTTATTTAACGAAGAGATTGTTTATTCTTTATTTTTCTGTTTTAAAGATTTACCCTATGCTTATTCTAGCTGCTATTACAAACTCTACTTATGTAAAATTATTTTACAAACTAATCACTAGAATATAATTTGATCCAGACTATATGTATAATTATTATCTCTTCAGCCTATAGTTATGTTAATCTAAATGAATAACCATGCTTCAAATTATGTATTGAACATCATAATAGTAAATTAATTTCATAGTCACTAGTGTGTGACTACTGGGCACAATATGTATTTTGCCTTTTCTTTTTTCTTTTTCTTTTTTTGCATTTTCCAAGTTCAAGATTTTAGCCTTTAACTGGAAGCAAAGAACTATATATGTGTAAACATTTTATATGGGAAAAGGGAAATGTTTCTGTTTTTAGTTAATGATTTGTAACTCATAGATGATTTCTTAAAAGAGCATTTTACAGTTTCTCTTCCAAGAGGTATTTCTCACCCTGAGTTGAATTTCTAAGATAATCTCAATGAAAATAACATATTCCATATTCTTGTTTTTTAATAAAAATGTTATACATCATGGCAGTTGAAGCACTGAAATGGATTTTAAAAATAAAAATTCAAATATATTATTTAACTAAAACATGAATTTAATCTTTCCTTTATTAGGCTCAGACAACACAATTCCACCAGAACTCATTGCAGATAAATTGAAATTAAAATGACAAAATTATACTTTTTCACAATGTGCCTTGAAATAACATTTCACCTTATCATAGTGCTAGAGTCAATGTGGTTTATTTTAAATATATGAATATCAAAATAAATCAAGTAATTGATGAGTAAAATTTAGAAAGATGAACCCATCATCTGCCTTTTTCCTCCTCACTCTTTCCTTGCCCTCTTGCCTCTTTCCTTCCTTCCACACCAGGGAGCCCAGGTCTGGAAGTAAAACTAGTGAGGGAGACACAAAGTCTGCTTTCACTGTCAGTGGGATCTATGAAAAAGGAGTAAATAGGTGGGTCAGGAAAGGAAACTGGAAGGTAATTGATGGTTCATTTCCTTTAGAATCAAAACTCTGCAGGCAAGTTCTTCCAGTGTTACTTCAGTATTCATTGGGGAGCTAATGCTGTGTTGATCTTTTAATTTTTCTCACTCTAGGTACTTCAGGAGAATTCTCCAAGGGGACCATATCTGGGAGTTCCCACACAGGTAGGTTAACAAGAAGGAACTCATGATATTTAACTGCATAGTTCAGTTCAGTTCAGTCACTCAGTCATGTCCGAATCTCTGCGACCCCGTGAACCGCAGCACGCCAGGCCTCCCTGTCCATCACAAACTGCCAGAGTCTACCCAAACCCATGTCCATTGAGTAGGTGATGCCATGCAACCATCTCATCCTCTGTCATCCCCTTCTCCTCCTGCCCTCAATCTTTCCCAGAATCAGGGTCTTTTCAAATGAGTCAGCTCTTCGCAACAGGTGGCCAAAATATTGGAGTTTCAGCTTCAACATCAGTCCTTCCAATGAACACCCAGGACTGATCTCCTTTAGGATGGACTGGTTGGATCTCCTTGCAGTCCAAGGGACTCTCAAGAGTCTTCTCCAACACCACAGTTCAAAAGCAACAATTCTTAGGCACTCAGCTTTCTTTCTTTCTTTCTTTCTTTAACCACGTAAGGTAGTTAGTAAACCCATTCTTGTAAAATATCAGCATCATTCTTTTCCTATTATCCCAAATCCTCAGACCTTATCATTCATCATTTTATTTCCTCAGAGGCCACAACTTTAATAGCAAGCAACAGCACATCTGGAACTGGGCTCAGACCTGGTAAGAATGAGTGGCTTGAAGTTTGGGGTTTAGCATGAATTATGACTCTCCATAGACTAACCTACTGGGAGGTGTGATCTCTTACAGAGTAGCTTTCATTGCCTTTTAGATTTAACGTGTTATGGAAGATCTTTCAATACCATAATCTAGCTTGTAACTGTCTAAAGATGGGCTGGTGTGTAATTGGTGTGAAGAGTTTCCCCTTGGGATGGCATACGCATCCCTAGTATGTTAGAGGGAACCAAGGAATATCACATACCTGGGAGGAAGATAAAGTGATGTGAACAGTCCTACTATATAAAGATTTTCTTTGCTTAAATAATCAATTACAATATTCAGTATTTTCCTTGGCACATTCAAATATTTTCTGCCTTTCATCCCACAGAAGATAACACTGCTGTAGCAGGAGGCCAAGCGACTGGGCGTGTGACAGGTGAACCTGGGAGAAAACCACCCTTCTTCCTGTCTTGGAATAAATGAGATGTTTGAGAAAGTTGCTTCAACTTGGGGATATTTTGATTGCTTTCTTAATGACATGAATAATAGAAAAGTCATACAACTCTCACCTCATCAGGAAAGCAGTGAGAGGACCCTTTGATATGGCACATTTCTCCTAGAGGCAGGACTTTAGAAGACAAACACAAGTCATTGTGATGACTAGATCTTTTGCATTTCAGGTACCACTAAGGTAATCCCTGGCACAACTGTTGCCCCTGGAAGTTCCAACACAGGTAATTCAACAAAATGGTAGGGAATCTTCCATGGGCCCAGTTATGATGAGGTTCCTCAAGTGTTATCCTACATAAGAGAACTACTGTATCTTTTCTGTGATCCTTACATGGTTTCCAATCATCTCTCTTCCATTTCCCCTTCTCTCAGAGTCCACAACTTCCTTAGAGGAAAGTAGAACAGCAAGAATTGGAATAATCACAGGTGAGCACTACTGAGTTACTAATTGTGCTTTCTATTAATGATATCTTCCTAGTAAAAAGTCTTGTCTGAAATATATCAAAACTGTTTGAACTTCCATATTTAGCATATTGGGCAAAATTTTAGCAGATGTTCAATATTTGACATCAATAATTTCAGTTGAGACCCTTCAACTTTTTCATTTGGGGCCCTAATAAGCCTCCATGTTTGCTCTAACAGGCCATCACATAGCCCATTCCCAATAGTTATACAGGTGATTTGGCCCCAAATCTGTCTCCTTTAACTAGAACCTAAAAGGAGGTCTCAGTGGCAGAGGACTTTCTCCATAAATTTATGAAGGGAATGAAATATTTTGAAAGAAATACATGGATGATCTCTTGAAACTAGGAAGTCCAGAGGAATAAATTCACTGGTATATGGGAGAAACAGTTTTTTAAAAACCCCATGTCCATTTCATCATGGGTAACAAATCTACCACAATTCTTTTATTTCAGGCACAGCTGAGAGCAAATCTGGCAAAACTCTGGGACCTGGAAGGGCCAACACAGGTCAGGAGTTCTGAACATGAACCCTCAGGAGATATAGATTGTAGAACCCAGAATGTCCTATCCACACCCCTAGTCTTCACTCCCCCCCTTTTATTTTTCTCTCAGGAGCCACAAGCAACATAGGAGGCATTGGGACCACCCAAGGAGGACTGCCAGGAGGTGAGTTTTTAGTCCAAGACCTGGAGCTCTCACTATTTCTCTATTTGGGTTTCTGTGGTGAGAAAATGAATGGGAAAGAATATGAGAGAGGGACTTGATGTATCTATTCATTCAAATACTCAGGAGCTTCCTGTATGAAATCTGAAACTTGGCTTTCAGATCCACAAAGGGAAAGATGAGACCAAAGAGAGGCAAACCACTCCAGATCGGTGGGTAGCAGGTTTAATAAGCAAGGGAACTTATGTACAAGGGAAGCTGCCAGACAAATAGATCTCTGCATCTATCTGCCAGAATCTTAAAAGTTTATATAGATACCTTAACTGAGTTCAGTTATATATACTGTCCTGAAGGTTTCAACAACACATTGCTCTATCCAGGATGCATCCTTGCATATGGCTCCCACTATAGGAAATGTGGTCACTATGTAAATTCCAAGGCCAGGGCAGAGGGGAAGACATCACTGATAACCTGGGTATAGCTTTAGGGTCAACTAAGTGTCATATCCTCTTCTTGAACTCCTTTAGCAGTATTGTATCATGTCAACCCAAGTAATTATTCTTTGGAATTCTAAGACCTCAGATGTCTCAGTCAGGCTGTCCTCAGTGTTCTGGCTTACAAGGATTTGTTTTTCCTGATAAAAAGGTGTGCATACATATTGCATGTATCCAAACCCCCTGAGTCCTTCCAATCTTCCTTATCCAACTTGCATTCCACCCTGCACTCTATCATCTCTCTCATATACATGATGCTTTTCATTTATTTCCTATTTCTCTTCATTGGAAAGTTCATGAAGGCAATCAAAACATTACAACTTATACCAAAGATTACTTCTTACAAAGATTAAACAATACTTTATTCCCTCACTTAGTCACTTCTGGCACAGCAGGTGGATATGACCCTGGACGTAAAATAGGTAAGAGTGATTTTTACTCTAGCTTCTTCTTATTGCATAGTGAAAGGGGAAACCCAGTAGCAACACATCCATCCAAGGCTGACCTGGGAAATGAAATGCTGTAAAATTGTTTATTTTCTGTTTCCACAGATAGTCTTCAGAAACGATACCAGTGCTTTAGGGACACATTGATGCTTCCAAGATGAACTGAGGAGGAAATGCTCTGTTGCTATATTTACTTTTTGCATTTTAGGTACCACTGGAGAATTGTCTGGAACAGCCATTGCATCTGGAAGTCCTAACACAGGTAGGTTAAGAAGAAGGAAATTCCCCATATTTAATCTCAGATATCATGATCTGTCTCTTAGGGCTTCTATAAGCAGATTCCCAGATTTTATTATGATCCTGTTGCTTCCCTCAGAGATCACAACTTCCACAAAAGAGACTAGAACTGGAGCTCAAACCTGTGAGAACGAAGAGTCTGTGATTTGGGGTCATCAGTTTTAGAACTCTCTAGGCTTTCCTTGAAAAAGTTTGTGTGAAATTTAGGGGCACTGCAAGTGAGTCAAAATGGGTTTGCTATTAGAGATAAAATCTTTTTGAAAATCCATTAAATACAGAATTGAGCTTCACTGCTTCAATTTTAAAGAAGTATGGGATTTCTCCATTGGTATTATAAACATCACTGGCATCTTAGCTAGAATCCAGCAAGTTACCCTTTTTGTGAATTCCTTCTGGCTGAAATAAATGCAGAGTGCAGAGTATATTAGATTGCATATAATCTATGGAAGTCTTTGTCTGAGCCTCCAAATTCCAGAGTATTAATATTTTACTCAAACCTTTGAATATATGTATATGGCAGAATACGCTCTCTCTCTTTCACGATCTGTCTCGTCTCTTCTCTTCAGGAGTCCAGAGAATTGTACCAGGGAGCCAAGTTTTTGACAGTCAAATAAGTGATCGTGAGAAAATATAAATATCTCCCTGATAATTACCAATATTCATAATAAAAGGACTTCTGGTGTGAAAATATAGTTTTACTTAACTTTTTTGGAAAGAAGTGTACTTGTGGGAAGATATATGAGGAATCCTAGAATAGGCCTTCAGTGCCTGAAAAGAAGCATAATGATTTTCTTCTTAGCCCTTTTTTGAATGTAAAGGCAATGCCATATAATCCCTTTTCCTTTATAATTTCAGGTACCAGTAGTGTAGTCTCAAGCCCAACTATTGCATCTGGAAGTTCCAGCACTGGTAATGGGATTTATACAAAGCCAATCATCCCTTATCTAACCTCAAGGAAAAATATGTATCCCCAAACATACTTTTTCACTATCCTAATTTCCTTTTTCAAGAGGCTAAAATTTCCTTAGAAAGCCTCAGAGTCACTGTGTTGAAATTAGTGAGAACTAGGATTCCCAGATGTGCGCTTTGCTTTTGGGAACCATCATGAATTTGCCCCTGGATCAGAGAGAATATACAGGGAGGGGAGATCCTCCAGTCCATATGCAGGGTCAAAAAACTGTTGATTCACACCTCAAAAATACTTTTGATTCACACCTCAAAAATACTGCCTGGCCTTGTGTGCATTTCTGAAGAGGGCAGTAGAGTAGTAATTCCCTGGAAGACTAATCCATTGGATATTATAGGTGTTACTGCAGGAGTCAACACTCCCAGAAAGTTCTGTCTCAAGTAAGATGACTAAAATGAACTTAGATATTTTTTGCCTCCCATTTGACATTTAACTTGAGCTTTAAATTCTAAATTGCCTAATGGTTGGTTGTTTCCATGAATGATTAAAGATCATAACAAACACAGAATCTTTTATCCTACTTTCAACCATTAGGGACAACCTCTGGAGCATCAGACAATCAAGTCACTGAAAGGAAAACAGGTAAATGTGGAAAAATTCCTCTGTTCTTAGCTGAAGCTCTTGTGTTATATTTGCTAACTAGGTCTACTAGAAAATAGGCTTCTTGAGTGAAAAAAAAATCTTCGTTTATTTTATTCACTGATGAATCTCTAGTACTTAACAGGGCTCAATAAGTATTTGTGGAACGGATGATAAATTGATACATGAGAAAACACACATGATTCAATCCAGGAGCAGAAAGGCCAATGAAAGGGCAGGCTTACAGGGCTGCCATCTGGACAAAATGTGAATGGTACCTGTGGAAGCGACCATGCACAATGTAACACTGAATGATGTGATTCTGGAAATATACACTTATTTTTATACACTGATTTTATACTCAGATTGCCTCGATGTGAAAGATTCACCATGTTAATCCCAAGTCCTTCCCATTTCAGGTACCCCAGCTATGGCCTTCAGTACCACTGTTGAACCTGGAAGTTCCAGTATAGGTAAGTTAACAAGCTAGAAAGGAAGCATCGTTTCTGGAAATAAGATGACAAAAATGTCTTCACATTGATTGGCTAAAGTAAGAACATCATAGCCTATTTTCCTTTCTTCCTAAATCCTCACCTTTTATCTGTTTCTTCTTTTTTATTCCCAGAAGCCACAACTTTCACTGGAGTAATTAAAACTACTGTAGTGGAATGGAAAATAGATGAGAATTATTGTGTGTGTGGTGTAAGACTTTTGTTGATAAATTATAGCTGACCCTTGAACAACATGGGTTTGAACTGCACAGGTCCATTTATACCTGGATTTTTTTCAATAGTAAATATTATTGTTACCATGCAATCTGTGGTTGGTTGAATCCATGGATGTGGAACTATGGATATGGAGGAACTGTGGATACAGAGGGCTGACTGTAAATTATTCATGGCTTTTTTGACTATGAAAGGAGTTGGCACTCCTGATACCTGCCTTATTCCATGGCCAACTATGCAATTTTGTTTCTTGTAGAATAATTTCTTGTGGAGGAAGTTTTTAGGAACTTTCATCTCATATCAACAATGTTTGTTTTTGTTACTTGATTTTTAATTAAACTGGGCAGATTTTTCAAGTCCCTCTGTTTCTGTGGTTAAGCCTCATAAATATATAGATCTCAGTAAATGAGAGAAGCAGTAGTAAAGGGCTAGAAAGTCTTCTTTTTCTGTTTCCCAATTTATGCATCACTATGAAATTAAATGAAGGAAAGAGTCCCAGAGGGTTCTATTTCAAGTAAACAGAAGGCTACAATAAACACAGGAAACTGATCTCTGTTAATTAGATTTTTCCTTGAAAACAAAAGTGACTGAAATGTCCAGTGGTTATCCCAATAACTGTCTATCTTTACATTCAAAAGTCTTTCTATTTTCATCCTCTTAGGAACTACCACTGGAGTATAAATAAATGAAGGAACAGGAAGCACCTTAGGTGACCATAGTGGGCAGAAGAATAAGGGTCAGAGCATGAAGAATCCCTACCTTACTACCATTAAATTCTAGAAGAGGGGGCTCATATGTTGAGAACTTTGCCTCTTTGCTTGATTTAGGAATAAAACTACGTGTAAGAGAACACAAATAATTCACAAGCAGCTGAAAAAGCCCAAATGTTGACCAGATTCCCCCCATGAGAGGAAAAGTCATCACTTCTCTTCCTGTTGCAGGTACCACAAGGGAAGCTTCTGGCACTAAACTTGGACCTGGGAGTTCAAAAACAGGTGAGCCAACTACCTGGAGAGACCGCTCCAACAGGAAAATCTCTACTGCTAAAGGATCTTCATGGTGCCATGCAAGAAAAGTACCCTTAAATTTTCTCAGAATGCTAAATTCTCTTCATCTTACATTAAAAAAATAAAAACTTTTATTCTCTCTTAGAAGCTATAATGCCCTCTGGAGACAGTGAGACCACAGGAAGTGGAATAAATGCAGGTGAGCACAAAAGCTTCATAGCCTCTTCACTTTTCATTTACGATAGCAATAATAACTAACTCTTTTGAGTGCTAACTATGTGCCAGGAACTATTCCACAATGTATTATTATTGCTTTTCTCTCACCACAAATTGTGAGGTAACTGTATTTTCATAGATAAGAAAATCTATGGCTCGGAGATGTTAACTAACTTGTACGAGGTCACACAACAAATAGCAGATTTCAGCTCAGGCAGTGTGGCTTCAAAGTCCATCCACTTAGCCATGATATTCTGCTCTGACTACCACACTGTATCACTAGACTTCTTTGTCACATGTCTAAACTTATCCTGAACATTAAAATTTCTATAACATCAATACTTTACCCAAATAAAAATATAGTGGGCCATCAACCCTTCATTGCTTATTCTTCTAGGGGGATCTAGTAGCCAAGTCACTGGCATTAAAACAGGTAAGTAAAGGAAGATACCTTTTGTCCCTGACATCGATCCCAGAGAAAGGAATATTATCATTAAGACTCTCACAGTCACCCCACATTTCACCCTTGCCCTGCCAAATTTTTATGGGGAATAAAATATTACATTAGAAAAAATATTAAAAACCATGGAACAAGCTATCCCTGAAAACCACCTTTTCACATAATAAATAAGTCATATAATAAAGAAACTAGTGTAGGATAATTTTCCTATCCTATATAGAATATACTCTTATTTTTTAGAAATAAAATTGACATAACGATACCATTCAATTGCTTTCAGTTAGTACTGGAGGGGGTCTTGGCGGTACTATCTCACCTGGGAGTTCCAACACAGGGGAATCAATGAGAAAACAGGGCTATAGTTTCTCTCTTGGGGCAAGTTCTGGAGCAATAGCACAGGATGTCTTTTTATGACTTTCTGTTAGCCCTCACTACTCTCTACCTTGTCACTCTCAGAAGTTAGAGCCTCCAGAGAAGGAAACATAACCAAAGAAAGGAAACTGGCAATTCTTGAGTTCTGATTTTTCATAGGGCATTTGCTAAAGGAAGCTTTTATTTAGGATGATTATATCATTTCTTCTGGGGTAAACCTTATACTGTTCTTCTTAAGAGGGAAGTCCAGAAAGGATTCTCTTTTCTGACATTCAAGCTATTACCCTGGTGTAAGATGGAGGCAACATATTAATATTTCCATACAGTTATAACTAAGGAAGTAGAGCTGGTGGGAGCAAATCTGGAAGTTTATACCTATTAAATTTTGAATTTCAGATATTATGAACTTAAATACAATTAAATGCCTTTACTCAAATATTGTTTCTATTTCTTGTCATTAGGAGCTACCACTGGCACATCTGAGAGGTCAAGCCCTGAAAGTAAAACAGGTAAATATGGGAGAGGCGCAGAAACCTCTGATATTTAACTCTAAGAAGCAAGGCATCTGGGACATTAGCCAATGTCTTTATTGTGGCCCTGAATTTAAAAATGGAGAATGCACCTTGTTTTGACAAGATAACTCTAAGAAGAATCTTATCTCTTCAAGTCCCAGACAGTCTTATGGGCCATTCTCAGGTTGGTAAATGCATCACTATTTGAATTCTCTGTTTCTCTCTTCTGCTTCAGGTACCACTGGTGCAATCTCTGGCACAACAGTTGCACCTGGAAGCTCTAACACAGGTAAAGTATTAACCTAATGGGGAGTATAAGGAAGCTCAGTGATGGTTTGGCTTCTTCCTTCAACTCCTCCAAACCGTCCCTACTATACTCAGTGGATACCACCCAACTTTTCTGAGTTATATGCATCTTCAAAATTTATTTTTTTTAATATATTTTACATTTTATTAAATCATCAAATATAAGCACTGGGGTATAGTTTTATTGGTAAAAAATAGCAAAAACAATGATAAAGAAAAACAGAAAAAAGAAAATGTGCCTCAGACCAGAATATCATAACAAAAGTTTTGTGGAAGCTGCATTTTATTTGAAAATCCACCCATTTTTGCTAACATACATTTTAATATTGTAAACAAAAATAGAATCTGCAGAGACAATGCAACAAGTATGCTTAAACTCATGTACAGAATTGCTCTCCTACAACAAACTGTCCTTCTTAAAGCCCCTCTCAACCCAAATGTTAAGATGTATTTACACGAAGCACCGATCAACAGTGCAGTTTAATTCTTTGTTAACTAAACTCTTGGCTAGGCATTAATTTTAAAGATACTATTTCCCCTTATTTAAAAGGTACATGATCATAACATGGCATGAGCCAAATAAAAGGTTCAAGGATTTTGTCCCCTCCTCTCCCCCCATAACACCTCCTAGAGTTTTACTGAAATTTAGTATTCTTCTCTTTTCTTTCTTTCACTTAGGGGCTACGACTGCTTTGGGAAGTGGTGAAACCACCCAGGGTGGAATTAAAATAGGTGAGGACTAGCAACTAAACAATTATTTTTCTCTGCATCTTAATCTAAATCATGTTGGCTATTATAAATTGAAGGGAAAAAAATAAATTCAAGGGACGTTTTGCTCTATTCTATCTGAATCTCATTTTGGGTACAAATTATTAGGATATTGGGTTTCCCTTGTGGATCTGCTGGTAAAGAATCTGCCTGCAATGTGAAAGACCTGGGTTTGATCCCTGGGTTGGAAAGATTCCCTGGAGAAGAGAAAGGCTACCCACCCCAGTATTCTGGCCTAGAGAATTTCATGGACTCTATAGCCCATGGTGTTGCAAAGAGTTGGATATGACTGAGTGACTTTCACTCACTTCACTTATTAAGATATTAAGTGCCCTTCATTTTATCCCATGTGAATTGCCTTTTTGGGTATATTTGTAATAAAGTGGCATAATAGAGACCACGCGTGGTGTATCACTTTAAAGCAATAAAGTTCCTGATATTGTTTGTTCTAAAGCAAACCCTAGTTTGAATCCCTAGTAAAAGGGAATACAAATTGATTCTCTCCTCTTGTGATTTCAGTTACCATGGTGGTGACTACTGGCACAATGGTGGCACCTGGAAGTTCCAACACAAGTGAGTCATGGAAAAGTTGAAGAAACCTCCCTATCTGAACTTTAGAGACCTGATGTCTCCTATAGAGATATTACAGATAGTAATACCCTTATACACTTCCCCGAAGTTCTGCATCCCATACCACTTTTTCCTATTTCTTCTCAGAGGCTACAACTCCTGCAGAAGTCAGAACAAACACTGAAGTTGGAATAGAAACTGGTGAGCGGTTGGCTCTTTCTGCCTTTGGGTTCAACAGTTTTTTATTTAAGTTTGTGTTAGATGATGGATGAGTAAGAAAACTGACTGAGAAAGAGTTTCATATTCCATTTGAAGAGACAGTACATCAGGTGAGTCAGATTTGGCTCCTTAGACTGAATTTCTCCATATATCAGCTTTTCAGACGTGATTCTCTGAAGCTAAGAATGATGTGTTATTCTCAATCCTTTATCCATCTTGCGACTGCAGGTGTTACTTCAGGATTAACTGGAGTTTCCAGGGCACCAGAAAATTCCACTTCTGTTTAGTGTTATATGTTTAATTCATTCATCTTGGACTTCTCTTGCATGTAAAACCCATTCTTGTGGGTTTACCCTCATGACCAAAGTCCCAACAAATCAAATTTTAAAAATTTCTACCCCTGAACACACACCCGAGGAGGACCCACTGAAGCAACAGGAAACCAAATCACAGGAAATGAAATAAATGTGCAGAGGAAAATCACTTTTACCCAAGCCTTAAACCATAGAAAAAGGTCTCTTTTCTGAGACTTTTGCATTTACTGGCTAGGGAAACCAAAGAGATACTGGGAAAACATGGTATTTGCTTCTCTTTGCCCAAAGAAGCCCCTTTATTGCTTTTAAGAATCATGTGAATTATCCATTTATGCTATTTTAAGGACTAAAAAAAATTGTTACTATCTCTTTCTCTCAATTTCATAATCTATCATTCTCTCCCAACCTCATTTTCACTTCCAATTCAAATACCACTGGTATATCTTTTTTTTGCCATATTTGTTTCAGAGATTCCAACACGAGTTAGTCAAAGTTACCAAAGAAAGCTCTCTATAAGTATCTCAAGCAAAAACCATCTTCTTTGGGGCCATTTCTTCTATTATTACAAAACATTTTTTCAGATTTTGAAATTGTTTAAAATTATGTTACATTTTTCTTTTTTACTCCTAGAAACTACCACTTCAAGACTCAACAGTGATGCCACTGGGAGTGGAATACAAAGAGGTCAGTCATGCTATTACATAACTGTTGAGATTTAGCTGGTTATTTGTAGGGTTTTCTATAGAGAAGAGATGACAAAATTTTGCATTTGAAGACTTTTGAGCCAATTAAAACTGGTCATCCTAGTGCACTAGAATTTCCTGGACTAAAGATTTCATCAGACTCATATTTATTAGAACATAGTTTTCTGACAGTAAATATCATCATGAAAACAAGAGTCCTTTTTTGAAGACTGATACTTTACTTGTCTTCCTTGTCACTGTTATCACATAAGATGAAGTCACTGTTACCAAGAAGTTTCCAACCCAGGTAAATTAAGGTGGCTGAAATAAACTTAAGGCATTCTTGGAGCCTCACACTGAGATTTTTTGTTTAAAAAAGTGGAAATGATCAGGGAAGAAATATTTCCTCTATTCTATTAAAAAGCATGGTAGTGTAAAACAGTTCAGGAAATTATTACAGTCCAGTGTACTTAAGAAATGCAACCCAGATGATGAGAGAGAACTACAAAAGCAGGTGCTGGGAGGTTCTTTGGAACTTCTATATCTCAAATTTATAACAGAACTTTCCTGAAGTAAGGAAAAAATGAGATGATGCATCAATTTTATATTTTACCATAATAATATTGTAATATAGGTGTCAGGTATGGCACAAAAACTTAAAACATGATTCCATGGTCAGTAAGGTACAATTAAAAGTTATTTGATATGTTGATTACCATGCACAGATTTGCCTTTTTGGAAGATTAATTAGAGGATTAATTAGAGAATTGATATGAAGGAGAGTAGGAGAGTAAGGGTGGAGACGTCATCCAATTTGAGACTGTTAGAAGTTAGGCATGATTAGAGACCGAAATAAGGCAGTGATGTGAGAAAATAGAAGGCAGAAGGGTGATCAAAAGGACTGAGAAATCTGTTGACAAGTTAGAGTCAATTTCAGCATGGTGATGGGAGGGATAAAGGATAGCAAGGACTGTGGATGAATTCTAATTCATAGTTTCAGTGCCTGTGTGGATGGATGTGAGTGCCATCCACTAAATTTTGGTATATACTGGGGGAAGAAAAAGAATTATACTGACAGGAGATATAGTGAGGTCAGATTTTTGACAGTTTTAGTTTAAGGTGCTCTGAGGTATCCAGTTAGTATGCTTAGCAGGAGTAATAAGTGCAACCAGAATACAGAAGATAGGTTTAATTGGAGAGAGAGAGATTTGTTAGTGATTTACTAACAAATCCTATTTTAAATTGTGGTTGCTGGTAGATTTCCTTATGGTGAACATACAGAGTGAGAAGAGATGAAAAATAAATTGAAAGCTGATTCCTTGGGTCATATAGGTGGGCAAAGAACTAAGCCTGAAAAAGGGAGGAGTTGCGGCTCAGTGGTTGCTAATGTGGGTTAAGTCAAATCCATAAAGCAGAGTCTGGAAGTGCTGGAGACTATATTGCTTCTGATTTCGGGATTCAGAATGTCAGATCAAACAGGGTCAACCAGAATTTGTGGGGAACATAGGTGTTTTTAATGTCTTTTCTTTTTTTCTGAGAGCCTAGCCTTACAACTATAAAACTTTGAAATTAAAAGAACTGCCTCAAAATAATTAATTAAAATGTCAAGATTCTTTTTTTTTTTTTAAATGTCAAGATTCTTGATCCTTCCCATTTTAACTTTCAGGAGTCCCTAACATAATTTCAGGGAGCCAATCTACTATTAATAGAAGCAAAATATGTGAGGATGGGGAAGTTAAAAAAGTGAAGATGGGAGACATCCATCTCCATGATACTAATTTCAGAAAAGAAGGATCTTAGGAAACTGGAGTATACCACAGGAAATGAAACACATCAAACAATATTTATTTCACCTTTTGGAATAAGGAATCCTAGAGAAGAAATGCAGTCTTTTACAAAAACACATTATTTATCCTGAACCATGATCTCCATCCAATAAGAAAGTTATCCCTGTCCATTTTTTTTTTTTTTCCTTTCTTTTCTTCTCTCTCCCTTTCCAGGTACCACTAGGACAAGCGCTGGAACTACATCCTCACCTGGAGGTTTCAATGCAGGTAAGTCAAAAGTGAAAGGAATGCTCCTTTAAGTGGCTGTAGGGAGAAGATCATACACTGCTATATTATTTTCACATTTTCAAACTCCAGCTTCTCAATTTTTCCTCCTTTGCTCTTCTAGAAGCAACAACTTTTAAAGAGCATGTTAGAACCACTGAAACAAGAATTTTGTCAAGTGAGTTTTGCCATGTTTTGGATTTTCAATATTTTTTTCACTTGAGTTTACTGCATATGGGTTATGAATGAAAATTAACATGCTTAAAACTGGTTTATGTAAATTTAATAACAGATCATAAGGACGACCTCTATTAATTCCCTGGGTTTTCCTAGAGAACATAATATAGATGTAATTCTCTAGATACATTCTTTATTTGAAAATTTCCTCCCTTTGTTTTGTCAGGCAATAGCCCACAATCAGTAGGGGTCACCAGTAGCCAAGAAGTGAGGGAAGATCGCTATACTGGATGAAGTAAATTTCTTAATTAAGGCTTTGATTGAGATGCCTAACCCTTGATCACAAGTTTAGACAATTTTTTTTCATTTGTTTGTTTGTTTGTCTTGTTTTTTTTTTTTTGTTTCAGTGCTGGAAAACTGGGAAGTTAAGTCACTAGAAGTAAATCATGAGACTATAGGACAGACATTCTCTCATTGAATATCAGATTCTAGATGATTCTATATTTAGAGAATAAGACCTATGGTGCAAGTGTGACTTTTCCTCCTATATTTTATTTGAATAATCATGAGAGCGTGTTCTGGAAAATATGCCAAGCTTAACATTTTGTGCAAGAAAAACTGTTAAACTGTCTTCTATTGCTTCAGAGAAACAGGAACACTTGTCAATACAGTGCTCTTCTTAGGGTGAGAAAGGCTTCGTGAGGCTCATGCTTCTCTCTTATTGCAGGTACCACTGGGAGAGCCTCTGGCACAACAGTTATTCCTGAAAGTTCCAACACAGGCAAGTAAATATTTAATAAGTGGCTCCAAGTAGTTAAGCCTAGAAAAATAACAGCCCTTCTCTGGAATTTACTGTCTGTTGTAACACCAGCACAGCAAGTTCTAACTTCAGTCGTATTTGCCTGTCTTAGGGACTGGCACTGGAATTGGAAGGCAAACAAGTGTCAGTGGTTCAGCTCTGTTGTGTTTTCAGATAATGATTCCTATGCCTTTGCTTCAACACAAGGGAACGTGTAGGGTAATGATAAAGGACCAGGAAATGGGCAGAATCTTTTTAGAGCATGTCCTCTTCCAGCCATCTATTGTTTTCTTGTTCTGAGTTTCTGGACTCCACGCAGAGCCGCCAGATAATTTTGTAAAAGTACACAAGGGCACTACTGCTAAAGGGAGGAGTGAGAGGCTGAAATCCAGCCAGCATTTCCTCAACAAGTTATAAAAGCCACGTGGCTTCTTCTGCTCAGAGGGGTTTTTTTCTGTCATTGTCTTTTGTTTGTTTTTTACTTCATAAAATTGCTCTATGGGCTAACTACAACATTAGCCTAGACTTTCATCTGACTTCCTTTCTCTTCCTGTTATTGATCTCTGAGGCTAGCAATAGAAGCTATGTCTGATATGAAGTGTCCCTCACTTGTCTTTGCAGGTACTGCTGCGGTATCAAGCAGAGTTACTGGTGTCTCAGAAAGTTCCAGCCCAGGTAATGGAAATTACTAACTCGAATGAAGTTAACATGTTCAACATTCTTTTCCCCTTTAACACTCAAGTGTTTCAGAAAAGGAATATTTGTGTTTATCAATATTAAACTTGAAGTGTAAAAGAAAAACTGTATCAGATGGAGTTAGACAAAGAAGACTTTAAGATTATGAAACAGAAGTCAAGAGCATTGCATTAGGGTTGAGATTTTGAATTTAAATTTGGTGAAATAAAGAGCAGGAGAGTTTTAAAATTCTGGGGTGAACTAGTGGAAAAGTACCGGAGACAGTAGTGGAGAGGTTGGTCCATGTGATTAGGCAATCTCTGTTTGCTAATTGGTGCTCAAAGAATGAAGTTAGTCTCCTACCATCCCAGAGTGACAGGAAGATGTGGGTGCTATTTTTCATGGCTTTTTTTGTTTTTTACAATATTGTATTAGTTTCAGATATACAGCATAGCGTGTCAGTATTTTCATAGATTATACTCTCTTTAAAATTATTGCAAAATAATGACAGTATTCCCTAAATGTAGCAATATAATATTTACTTACTGCTTATCTATATTATATATAGTAGTTTGTATTTGTTAATCCCCTATCCCTATCTTGTCCTTTTCTTCTTTCCTTTCCCCACTAGTATCCAATAATTTGTTCTGTATATCTGTGAGTCTGTTTCTATTTTGCTATATGCATTTTGTTTGTTTTATTTGCTAGATTCCACATATAAATGTGATGCCACATATAGTGTTGGTCTTTGCATGATATATTTCACTAAGCATAGTACTCTTTAAGTTCATCCACATTGTTACAAATGGCTGAATTTCATCCTTTTTTGGCAGAGTAATATTCCATTTAAAAATATTCTACATCTTCTTTATAATATTCTATTATATATATGTGTGTATATATATAATATTGTGTATATATACATATATATATATATATGTACATATATTTCTTTTTCTACATCTTCTTTATCCATTTATCTGTTGATGGGCAGTTGGTTTGTTTCCCTATCTTGGCTACTATAAATAGTACTGCTATGTACATTGGAGTGCATGTATCTTTTTGAACTAGAGTTTTTATTTTTGTTTGAATATATATCCAGGAACTGTGGGGGGAATATGGTAGTTCTGGCTTCCCAGTTCTGGCCATATGGTAGCTCTGGCTTCTTTAGTAGTAAAGAAACTGCCTGCCAGTGCAGGAGATGTAAGAGATGTGGGTTCAATCCCTGGGTCGGGAAGATCCCATGGAGTAGAGCATGGCAACCCATTCCAGTATTTTTGCTTGGAGAATCCCATGAGCAGAGGAGCCTGGCAGGCCCCAGTTCATAGGGTCACAAAGGGCCGGATATGACTGAAGTGACTTAGCATGCAGACATGAGATTCAAGACCTAAATGTGAGACCTGAAACCATAAAGCTTTTCGAAGAGAACATAGGTAGAACACTCTGACATAAACCATAGCAATGTTTTTTGATCTGTCTCCTAAAGGAAAAGCAAAAAAACAAAAAACAAAAAACACACAAATGGGATTTAATTATACTTTAAAACTTTACATATCAAAGGAAACCATCAATGAAACAAAAAAAATCTTGAATAGTAGACAATATTTGCAAATGATATGACTGATACTCAAACTATATAAACAGTTCATAAAACACTCCCCTCAAAATTAATACTAGACAGCCAGGAAAACAGGATATATGAAGTAAAATAGTTCAGTGTAAAAATAGTTTTTGTCACTAACAGAAGGGGACTCTTAAGTGATAGTTACCAGGGCCACAGTGAAGGGAAGTGTTAGTCACTCAGTCGTGTCTGACTCTTTTCAATCAATCCCATGGCCTGTAGCCCACCAGACTCCTCTGTCCATGGGATTCTCTAGGCAAGAATACTGGAATGGATTGCAGTTCCCTTCTCCAGGGGATCTTCCCAACCCAGGGATTGAAACTGAGTCTCCGATTTTGCAGCAGATTCTTTACCATCTGAGACATGAAATACTCAATTCTTCTGTGAGCGAGGAGTCGCTGTGTTAGGGCCTACTATGTTTCAATAGCAGGAGAATGAACTGGCATTCGTAGGTGTACTAGTACATCCCTGGTGCTTTGAGACTCTTGTTCTATGTGAAGATGTCTTCAGATACACTCTTCTGCAACCAGAAAAAGTCCACTGCTCTTTTCCTACTCATTTTAGGGACCTCCAAGGAAGTATCTGAAGCAACTACTGGTCCCAGAATTTCTACCACTGGTAAGTCAAATAAAAATAAATGAACTTTGCTTGGTGGCATCTCAGAAGACAGGACAGCTTATCTGAAATTAAACTCTAGCTTTTATAGTTCCCTTTACTCACCACTTTTGTTCCTCTTTTAGCAGTCACTGCTTCCACAGGAGTCAAGGGACCCTCTGGTTCTGGAATGCAAACAGACAAATACTAGAAATACAAACTCTTCAATGGTCAATGTGCCTGTGATTTTATATAAGGAGTTGAATTTGGGAGAGAAGAGTGGTGGGAAAGAAACAGGAAAGAAAGGCCAGGAAGATTATTCTACATTTCCTCATGAAATATGACTTGAATATTACCTAGGGATTTTTTTTTTCCTCCAAGATTTTTTGGGTTAGGCTTTTACCAGAAATCCTTACTGGAAGTTATGACCTTGAAATCTCTGATAATGAGATTATGAAATGTTCAGGAATTAACAATTCCTGAAATTTTTAATATTTCCTTTAAAATTTCCACTTCAAAGTCAAATGGAATCACAACAAGCCCCAGAATATCCTACCCAGGTAAAATGAAATAACACAAAGGCACTGGCATGAATTGTCTCTTCCACATGAAGCTTTCCTTAAGCATGAATGTGTGTGATCATTTGTGCAGGCATACACACAGAAACTTGATATGTGTACATGCTCTCTGGTAAATGAAATGACAGCAGTATCCTTTTGTTTCTCCTCAGAAACCACTGTTGTCGCAACAGAACAAGAAATTGAAAATAAGACAGGTCAGCGTTGGAAAAGTACTAATTTCCTTGTCACTTATTCAACTAACATTTCCTTTAACCTTATATTTGCTAGACTTGAGCAGCCCTTGCCATTTGATTATTTTGCATGTGTTGGTGGGGGAGATTATCATGGGCACAGATAATATCATTTCAGGGCATTTAATGCTACTCAAACAATGCACAACAATTATGGGCCTGGGACTATGTTGAGACTGTAAATTTGTTTGCTAGTTGGTAGGGCTGAGTGAAGAGATCAGAGAAAAGATGACTGCATTTAATATTGGCTAGGGTGAGGAGGGAATTCTTGCCATAGGACACTTGAAAAGACAGAGACATTAGACAGCGTGAGGGACTTCAGGAATTAACCAGGTATTGGGATTGTCTGTGTGAGTTTCAGGGAAGAAATGAGATTAGAAAGGTGAGCAGAGCAATGCTTATGAAGGACTCTATTTCCAAACTTAGATGAGACTTTATCCTTATAATAAATGGGATCACCTTAAGGATTTTGTTAAAAGGATGATATGATCAGATAAGTCTTAGAAAAATTACTCTGATAGAAATGTGAAGATTATAAGTGTATTTTTTTATTCCTTCTATTATAAATTTCTCCTATGAACATGGAATTCTGGGTAGGGAAATTTTTCTACTATATTTATACTTAAAGATCATTTCTCTCTCCTGTTGCTGGTTTCTGTTAATCTGCTAAATATTTATAATTGGGAATTAACCTAGTCTCTCTTAGTAAAGAGAAGCATTTTATGCCCCAAACTTATATACCTTTAATTAATTTATTTTCTGTTTTTCGGTACCTATTAGTTGTTGGGGTCCTTTTATTTGAACCTGGAGAAACTTAAAAATTCCTCTCAAATATTCTGTTGCTCATAGTTCAGCCTTCTGCTTGGTAGATAGAATAAAAATATTAATCTGAATTTTAGCAGTTTGAAAATAGAATGTGAAATTTATGAGTGGATTGTTGGGTTAACCAAACTTTCTGACATGGGAAGCCTCCAAAAAAGTAAGAAGTTTAAAGCATTTGGCGGGATTGGAGACAGAACAAGATTAAAATGCCATAGACAAAAAGAACATACAAATTCTTAGAGTATTAATATCAGGTAACACACAATGCATTTGTTCTATTTATATATATGGAAAATTATATGCTTTTGATAGTGTTATCCTTTTCTTTATTTGATTATATATTTTATTATCCTATTTATCAGAACTGTCTGTCAAGACATTTGGAAGAGAAATTTACTTTGATTCTCGTTCCTTCTTTTGATCCTCATATTTCCTTCCCATTGACATTTTAGAGCTAAAGGAAACACTCTCTAATGGTGAAATATCAAATGCCATAGGAGGAGAAAGGGAAGATTGATGGGGATATGTCTGCTTATAAGACTAGCAATGTGGCCATGTATTTTCAGTAATAGACAACTGTATATACTCCAAACCAATAACTTGAGAGACTAATATAAGGTATCTGTTTTTACACAGAATGTTCAACATCTCTTCCACCACCTCCAGGTAAGAATACCTCCACTTGAAAATCAAATAATTCTACATTAATGATTCTTCTTGTAAATCAAGCTTCAGAGGTCATACCAATAAAAGTCACTAGCTAAGGAAGTGTTATAGAATAGGAAAACTTGAAATGGAAGAATTTAGCTTTTATTCACCAAATAGTGAATGAAAGGCTGTTTTGTCACACACAAACTAATAAAGCCAAACCAAACAAATGTATTTTGTCCCTTAGTCAAAATAGAATTTACTTACACAATAAAGTGTTTCATGTAACTATATGATATCCTGATTGAAATGTTGCCTTTTATTTTTTAAACTAGATAATTCCAGCTATTTTTGAGGACTGAATTTTAGCAACAAAAATTAGGGGTAATCAGAGTTTAATAATTTTAGTAGAATTTGAGTTTCTCTAAAATTATCAAGCCAATGTGGTGTGCTTTCTATTAAGTGGTGAAATTACAAAAAAAATCATTTTCTAATTTTAGCATACAGTGGGAGAAGGGATGTTTTCAAAGAAACAATTTTCATATAGGCTGAAAATAAATTTCACAGTGAAATATGTGACCTATGTATTATATAGCCAACACATACTATGTGTTACACATCTTACATATATTACATGCACTATTTACTATATTACATATATTACATAATACTGCTATGTGTTATACATCTTACATATACTTTGGAAGGATTCTCAGGTATTTCATTAGAGAACTGGAATTTGAGAACAGTAAGTAAGCTAGTTCAGGGTATATACATCAAAGAGGAGAGACAAGGTTGAGATGATAGACTGGAGACACGTTATGGCAACCTCAGAAGCCAGAATGCTAAAATAAAGTATTTAGTTTACAGGACTATAAGAAATATCTAATCAAGGCAATGATGAGATGAAATGTAGGCTTTAGGAAAACTGTCCTACCTATGACATAGAGAATTGACTGGATCAGGAAGAGGCCTGAGTCAGAGCAACCCATTTTAAAAGAGCCAGATTATGCCAGACCAAAAATACTAAGGTCCTAGAATAGTATTATAACAAGTAAAACCAGGAAAGGAAGGGATTCAAATGAGGATAAAGATACAAGATTTTGCAGTAGATTCAATGCCAAATGATGAGAAGGAAACAATTAAGATGACTTCTAAGTTTTAGGCTTAAGTAATTAAAAGAACAGTTTAGGCCTTAATAGGAGGTGGGCTTCCTTAGTGGCTTAGATGGTAAAGAATCTGCATGCAATGTAGGAGACCTGGGTTCAATCCCTGTGGTGGGAAGATCCCCTGGAGAAGGGAATGGCAACCCACTTCAGTGTTCTTGCCTGGAGAATCCCATGGACAGAGGAGCCTGGTGGGCTACAGTCCTTGGGGTCTCAAAGGGCCGAACAGGACTGAGTGACTAACACTTTCACTCTAATAGAAGGTGGCCAATTTAGAAGAAAAACTGGTTTTGAGGGAAATATGATTTAATCTGTTTTGTGCACATTGAATTTGAGGTTCTTTAAAATCTGTTGGGGTGCTGTTTATTAGGCTGAGGGAGATCTGGGTCCATAGGCTGTAGGAGATGTCTGTTCAGAAGTTTGAGAGTATATACTTGACATTTGGCACAACGGAACCTTTTGCACTAGGACCAAGAAGGAAGGAACAGTGGCCCCACAGGAGCCTTGCCTGTGGGTGTCCCGGAGTCTCCGGCAAAGGTGTGGGTTGGTGGTGGCCTGCTGCAGGGTTGGGGGCACAGTCTGTAGCAGCACATGCATGGGATCTTTTGAGGGAGGTCACCATTATCTTCATTACCTCCACCATAGTTTAAGTGTTAGTCCTTCACTCGTGCCCAACTCTTTGTGACCCCATGCACTGCAACCCACCAGGCTCCTTTGCCCATGAGCTTTTCCAGGCAGGGATACTGGAGTGGGTTGCCATTTCCTTCTCCAGGGGATCTTCCCCACCCAGGGATCCTGGGTCTCCTGCACTTCAGGCAGATTCTATACTGACTGAGCTACAAGGGAAACCTACTATAGTTTGGCCCCAGGTAAATAGCAGGAAGGGAACACAGCTCCACCCATCAACAGAAAATTGGATTAAAGATTTACTGAGCATGGCCCCGCCCATCAGAACAAGAACCAGTATCCCCCTCAGTCAATCTGTCCCATCAAGAAGCTTCCATAAGCCTCTTATCCTTCTCCATCTGAGGGCAGACAGACTGAAAACCACAATCACAGAAAACTAACCAATCTAATCACATGGACCACAGCCTTGTCTAAATCAATGAAACCATGAGCCATGCAGTGTAGGGCCATCCAAGACGGATGGGTCATGGTGTAGAGTTCTGACAAAATGTGGTCCCCTGGACAAGGGAATAGAAAACCACTTCAGTGTTCCTGCCTTGAAAACCCCATGAATAGTATGAAAAGACAAAAAAGATAGGACACTGAAAGATGAACTCCCCAGGTCAGTAGGTGCCTAAGATGCTACTAGAGATCAGTGGAGAAATAACTCCAGAAAGAATGAAGGGATGGAGCCAAAGCAAAAGCAACACCCAATTGTAGATGTGACCAGTGATGGAAGCAAGGTCCAATGCTGTAAATAGCAATATTGCATAGGAACCTGGAATGTTAGGTCCATGAATCAAGGCAAATTGGAAGTGATCAAACAAGAGATGGCAAGAGTGAATGTCGAAATTTTAGGAATCAGAGAACTAAAATGAACTAGAATGGGTGAATTTAACTCAGATGACCATTATATCTACTACTGTGGGCAAGAATCCCTTAGAAGAAATGGAGTAGCCATCATAGTCAACAAGAGTCCAAAATGCAGTACTTGGATGCAATCTCAAAAATGACAGAATGATCTCTGTTCATTTCCAAGGCAAACCATTCAATATCATGGTAATCCAAGTCTATGCCCCAACCAGTAATGCTGAAGAAGCTGAGTTGAATGGTTCTATGAAGACCTACAAGTCGTTCTAAAATTAACACCCCCAAAAGGTGTCCTTTTCATTATAGGGTACGGGAATGCAAAAGTAGGAAGTCAAGAAACACTTGGAGTAAAAGAAAAATTTGGATCTGGAATACGGAATGAAGCAGGGCAAAGGCTAATAGAGTTCTGCCAAGAGAACGCACTGATCATAGCAAACACCCTCTTCCAACAACACAAGGAAGACTCTACACATGGACATCACCAGATGGTCAACACTGCAATCAGATTCTTTGCATATTCTTTGCAGCCAAAGATGGAGAAGCTCTATATAGTTAGCAAAAACAAGACTGGGAGAGGACTGTGGCTCAGATCATGAATTCCTTATTGCCAAATTCAGACTTAAATTGAAGAAAGTAGGGGAAGCCACTAGACCACTCAGATAGGACCTAAATCAAACCCCTTAAGTGGAAGTGAGAAATAGATTTAAGGGACTAGATCTGATAGACATACTGCCTGATGAACTATGGATGGGGGTTCGTGACATTGTACAGGACAGGGATCAAGACCATCCCCAAGAAAAATAAATGCAAAAAAGCAAAATGACTGTCTAGGAGGCCTTACCAATAGCTGTGAAAAGAAGAGAAAGGCAAAGGAGAAAAGGAAAGATATACCCATTTGAATGCAGAATTTCAAAGGAGAGATAAGAGAGACTTCCTCAGTGATCAGTGCAAAGAAATAGAGGAAAATAATGGAGTGGGAAATGTTAGAGATTGCTTCATGCAAAGATGGGCTCAATAAAAGACAGAAATGGTATGGACCTAACAGAAGTAGAAGAGATTAAGAATAGGTGGCAAGAATACACAGAACAACTGTACAAAAAAGATCTTCATGGCCCAGATAACCATGATGGTGTGATCACTCACCTAGAGCCAGACATCCTGGAATGTAAAGTCAAGTGGACCTTAGGAAGCATCACTACAAACAAAGCTAGTGGAGGTGATGGAATTCCAGTTGAGCTATTTCAAATCCTAAAAGATGATGCTGTGAAAGTGCTACACTCAATATGCCAGCAAATTTGGAAACCTCAGCAGTGGCCACAGGACTGGCAAAGGTCAGCTTTCATTCCAATCCCAAAGAAAGGCAATGCCAAAGAATGCTCAAACTACTGCACAATTACACTCATCTCACACGCTAGTAGTAAAGTAATGCTCAAAATTCTCCAAGCCAGGCTTCAACAGTACATGAACCATGAACTTCCAGATGTTCAAGCTGGTTTTGAACAGGCAGAGGAAACAGAGATCAAATTGCCAACATCTGTTGGATCACTGAAAAAGCAAGAGAGTTCCAGAAAAACTTGTACTTCTGCTTTATTGACTATGCCAAAGCCTTTGACTGTGTGGATCACAATAAACTGAGGAAAATTCTGAAAGAGTTGGGAATACCAGACCACCTGACCTGCCTCTTGAGAAACCTGTATGTAGGTCAGGAAACAACAGTTAGAACTGGACATGGAACAACAGACTGGTTCCAAATCAGAAACGCGTATGTCAAGGCTGTATATGTCACCCTGCTTACTTACTTACATGCAGAGTACATCATGAGAAACGCTGTGCTAAATGAAGCACAAGCTGGACTCAAGATTGCTGGGAGAAACATCAATAACCTCAGATATGCAGATGACACCACCTTTACGGCAGAAAGTGAAGAGGACTAAAGAACTCCTGATGAAAGTGAAAGAGAAGAGTGAAAAAGTTGGTTTAAAACTCAACATTCAGAAAAGAAAGACCGTGGCATCTGGTTCCATCACTTCATGGCATATAGATGGAGAAACAGTGGAAACAGTGGCAGACTTTATTTTTTGCAGCTCCAAAATCACTGCAGATGGTGACTGCAGCCATGAAATTAAAAGATGCTCGCTCTTTGGAAGAAAAGTTATGACCAACTTAGACAGCATATTAAAAAGCAGAGACATTATTTTGCCAACAAAGGTCTATCTAGTCAAGGCTATGGTTTTTCCAGTAGTCATGTATGGATGTGAGAGTTGGACTATAAAGAAAGCTGAACACTGAAGAATTGATGCTTTTGAATTGTGGTGTTGGAGAAGACTTTTGAGAGTCCCTTGGGCTGCAAGGAGATCCAACCTAAAGGAGATCAGTCCTGAATGTTCATTGGAAGGACTGATGTTGAAGCTGAAACTCCAATATGTTGACCACGTCATGCAAAGAGTTGACTCATTTGAAAAGACCTTGATGTTGGGAAAGATTGAAGGCTGGAGGAGAAGGTGACAACAGAGGACGAGGTGGTTGGATGGCATCACCGACTTAATGGACATAAGTTTGAGTAAACTCCATGAGTTGGTGATGGAGTGGGAAGCCTGGCGTGCTGCAGTCCATGGGTTCACAAAGAGTTGGACACGACTGAGCGACTGAACTGAACTGAACTGAAGTTGACATTTAGTGGATGCTGTAAAGATGGAGAAAAGTATCAGAGGAAAGAATAGAGACAAAATGAGAGGAATGAGAAAAATCTGCTAATAGAGAGGAATTTCAGAGTGTCAGTCTGAAGGAGGAATATTTTCAAGGTGAGAGTTTTAAAATGTTAGCTATTGTAGGGAACTTGAACTGATAAAGAGCCCTTTAGACTGATAATTATGAGGTCTTGGTGACTTGTGGGATTGTGAAGGCAGAAGTCGGAAAGTGAAACAAAAGGTGAACAGTAGCCATAGATTTATTGACTACTGACAGGAGAGATTTATTCTTTGCTGAGGAGTGTAAAATTAGGAAATATATATATGCTGCTAGGGACAGTTTGCTCAAAGTAGGTGGATGTGATTGATTTACCTTAAGGCACCTGACAACTGTTCACAATATATCTCTGAAATCCTAGTGCCAATTCAGGTTTGGTCAACCTGGTGGTTATCTACAAATAGCAGAAAGTTATATTTTGCCAAATTTAATTAGCATTTGTCATTTCATGCTAACAGCTTGTTATGGTCCACTGGGAGAAAAGAAGTCAGTAAGTACACAATTTGTCTCTACTTTAATACAAATTTGCTGTCATTCGTATATTTGAATAGAAGTCTAAATTTGGATTGTATTTGTAGCCTGGAGACACATGGACTGCCAATTGCCACAAATGCACCTGTACTGATGCAGAGACTGTAGACTGCAAACTCAAGGAGTGTCCTTCTCCACCCACATGCAAACCTGAAGAGAGACTTGTAAAGTTCAAAGATAATGATACCTGCTGTGAAATTGGATATTGTGGTATGTAGTCATGATACATTGTTTTCTTTTCTACTTTATTTTTATTGAGACATAATTGACATAAAACAGTATTAGTTTCAGGCATACAACATAATGATTCCATATATATATATATACATGTATGTATATATATTGCAAAGTGATCACTACACTAAGTCTAGTTAAACCACCTATAGTTACAATATTTTTTCTTGAAATAAGAACTTTTAAGATCTACTTTCTTAGCAATATAATGCATTATTTGATTTGAATAGTTGTTTACTTATTCATATATTCAAGAGATATTTATTGAACTACTAGTCTGAGTCAAATGGTTGATAGGTATGACAAATAACAGAATCAATATTTGCCTCTTAAAACCTACTATCTTTTGAGTAAGAGAAACCTAGAATTAACAGTTATGAATGTAATCAGTAGATTAAAAGGAGATGATGGTGTTATGGGAAGAAACGTTATAATGTTGCCTTATTGTTGGTAAATATGATCTCATATACAATTTCTGTTTTATAAATAAAAAATTTATAATGTTTGTCTTAGGGTAAAATATGTATTTGTTTTTCAGAGCCAAGAACATGTTTATTTAACAATAATGACTATGAGGTAAAGTTATTTCTACTTTAATATACTTTTATTATTATAATTAAGAATAAATGCAGAGTGTCTCAGCTAATATGAAAAAAATCATATGTAATGGTGGAGTGGAATCCATTCATTTTTTACCCATATTCACTTCAAAAGAAAGGTCAAATGTAACATCTACCACAACTTGCTTCAAAGGGCAACAATATTCTTGGTCATTAATCTAACAATGGAGCTGCTGAACAGAATTTCTCATGGGTTTCCCCAGGTGCAGAAGACATATAACATTCAAATCAATGAACAGAGTTAAACTGTAATTATAATCAGAAAAATCTAATGGCTGAATTGTCAGAGATCAAATAGGAAAAAAATCAGAACTCCATTATGAGGATATTATAACACAGTATATTCAGGGCTGATCTGACAACTGATTTGACGTATTGGAAAGTAATTTAACTTTTTAGAAAAACTATCAGAAAGCCATAAAAAAACAGATGATTCTCAAATTAATAATACATGTGAACTGGTGACACTAAATATTATAAGAACTAAATCTAGACTAAAATATGTGGTATGTTAGGAAATACATAAAACAGAGCCTATAATTTAATAATAATTTAACTTGGTTAAAGTTAATTTAATTTAATAATTTACTTTGGGGCTTCCCTGATAGCTCAGTTGGTAAAGAATCTTCCTGCAGTTCAGGAGACCCTGGTTAAATCCCTGGGTTGGGAAGATCCACTGGAGAAGGGATAGGCTAACCACACCAGTGTTCCTGGGCTTCCCTTGTGGCTCAGCTGGTAAAGAATCTGCCTGCGATGCAGGAGACCTGGGTTTGAGCCCTGGGTTGGGAAGATCCCCTGAAGAAGGGAAAGGCTAACCACTCCAGTATTCTGGCCTAGAGAATTCCATGGACGGTATAGTCCATGGGGTCTCAAAGAATTGGACAGGAATGAGTGACTTTCACTTTACTTTGGTAACTCATTTCTTATACTCACATTTCTACTCAGGCTTCTTAAATTTTAGTTTCTAAAGGTGATCTGATGAAAATCTATGACAGTTTTGGAATATAAAACATGAGGATATTTAAAGAACAAAGCGAAATTGTACCTCTAATCATTTATATGCAAAACAGTTGAAATAATAAAATTCGAGCTTACCTGAAAGTTCACTTTGTGGTTCGAGGGCCTGATATAAATGGAATTTCCTAAACTGATGTTTGAATTTTGTACATAAAGTAATTATAAAGCAATCTGAGTAGCAATCTAGAGAGCTTTAAAAGCATGAAAACATAAGCAAAGGTAGAAGATATCTTGTGGGACTTTTTTAAATCCTTGAAAAATATCATAGAACCACAATAGATGAATCTTAATTTGAGGATTGAAAATCTTTGACATTCTGTGCCCTCAGTGAAGATCTTTGATTATTCATGGAAGTCTTTAACCTACTTTTTCTTAAATATTAATCTAATGGCTCAAAGCGTCTCTGGAAATTCACGAAACATTATAAATTTGAAACAGAAATGAAGATCAATAATCATTAGTTCCCTCCTCCTCCCCACCTCCCAGGTTGGTGCTTCATTTGCTGACCCTAACAACCCATGTATCACTTACTCTTGCCACAACACTGGTTTCATCGCCGTGGTTCAAGACTGCCCCAAGCAGACCTGGTGTGCAGAAGTAAGTCATCTTCTTAAGTAACAAGCAACAAGATTCACGTCTTATGAGAAATATAAATACAACTAGTCTTATTCCTTATTTGTAAAAGCTTTTGCCTAGCAATAAACATAAATCTCTTACAGATTTCATTCCAGTTATGTCATCTACCTTTTGCTGCCAACTATACTTTTTATATCAAATATATATTTGCAGGCTCTATAAAACTTAATCTAGTGCTATTCTAGAAGTAAGTTACTGTAGAAAGAGTGCTGCTGTATTTTAAACAACAACAACTAAAAGCTAGTATTGTTCAAGGTCGTGGCTTCAGGTTAATAATTTTCTATAAAAGAACACATTTTAAAATAGAATCACATAAGTATGTACAGTTCAGATTGCTCTTCGTGTCACAATTTTTATCCCCTGAAAATAGGATGAGGGTTTTGCATTAATGAATGCTTAAGCTTAAAGTATTAAGGAAGTTTTAAATTTCACTAATTTGTTTCTGAAGATATAATTGATAACATAATGTTTTATTTTAGACCGCAAACTTTGGATTTCAACATTTACTGAGTTTTTACTTCAGACAGTGATAAGTTTGAGATTATAATAATGTAAGGTACAAATCTTGCTTGTGAGAAACCTGTGTTGAGTTGTAGTGTCATTATTAAAGTATATTTTTCAATTAAGGGAGGGCTATTCTTTTATTCTTGGGCATTTTATTTTAAAGATGAATTTAGTTTTAAGTGTCATTTTCCCATTTCTACCCACTGTTGAAAAGTTTGGTGTTAACAGTCTCACTTTTATCACTGTGCTTTCCTCTCTGTGCTGACTGGATCTGAGATCTGCATGTTTATCTGTTCTATTCCTCCCTTTGTAATGCTATTTCAATAAGTTAACAAATGTTATATTGTTTATAGAAAAATACAGGATTTTCTCAGTCATTTTCTTTTTCTCTGACTCCTGTAGGAAGACAGAGTCTATGATTCAACAAAATGTTGCTATACATGTAAGTAAAATTAAATTCCACATCTGAAAAAAATGTCAACTGTTAGCAGAAATTTAGTGTTTCCTTAAAACAAAATGACAGATCATTAATACAAAATCTCCTGTGTTTTTAACACAACTAGTAATCTAACCCGTATGCATACCGATGATTAATATAATGCATTATATTTTCTTACTCATGTTGGTTGCAACACTCTTCCAAGTAAAAACCACTGATGTTTACAAGGGTGAAAATTTAATTTGCATGGAAAAAGTTTTGTTTGCTCTCCTAACATTGGCAAATTATATTGTAAATTGTTGTATTAGAGCATAAAGATGATCAGCAATTTGAGCTAATAGATGTGTGAAACAACCATCCCCCCCTTTTTTCCTCCTCCCCTCTTTCTTCCTTTCTCTTACCTTCTTCCCTTTCTTTTCCTTCTTTTCTTTCCCCTTCTCCTATGATAGTAATAATAGAATAATACTAATATTTATTGAGTATTACCCTGGTACCTTGTGCTGGGTGCTGAGATAGTCTCTCCATACCATCGTGAAGTATTTGTTATTATTCTCTACTTTATGATTAGGAAAATTGAGACTTAGCAATTGTTAATGTTAAACCTCATTTCTGATTCTGTTTTCCATTTTGTTTTAGGTAAACCTAATTGTAGATCTTCACCCGTGAATGTGACTGTTAACTACAATGGTTGCAAGAAAAAAGTTAAGATGGCAAGATGCACAGGGGAATGCAAAAAAACCATCAAGTAAGTTTCTCTTTGTGTCCTGCATGTTAAGCTTGTAACATTGTGGAGAAAATCAAGCTTTGAAAACTTTACAAGGGCAAATGTTTATATAAGATCTAATAATCAGGACCTGATTCAAATAAAATATTAATACCTGCAAAATAAAATAAACATTTTAAATAGTAATTAAGCATTTTGAAGGTTTTTTCTATATGTCAGACATAATACATTTATGGCAAATGTATTTATTTTCATAAAATGATTACAGACAGATGTCAAGCAAATCCTCTAGCTGAAAAGTGTTTTTTAAAAAAATGGCACTTGCATTTTAAACATAGCACATATTACATGTTCTTTCTTTTGTATACTTTCACATGTAGATTAATATATGAGTAATAATTTGGTATTACATTGTATATTTTTAAAATGTTTTGTTTATATTTTTGTACCATACTGCTCTAACTATGAGATTATAGTCTCCACTTTTTTTGGTTTTATATACCAATTACTATGAATCCATAGCAGAAATATACAATAAAGGCAAAGAATAAATTGGCTGGAAGACTTGCTAAATCACTTAGACAATTGGAATCTGAGCACTGATGTCAATTTATTTCAGAAAGTATTCTGAAAATATTTATTACTGAACTTTTTTTTCTTTTAGGTATGACTATGACCTCTTTCAGTTGAAAAATTCATGCCTTTGCTGCCAAGAAGAAAACTATGAGTATAGGGAAATTGATCTTGACTGTCCTGATGGTGGTACAATACCTTATAGGTACAGGCATATCATTACATGTTCCTGTTTAGACATATGCCAACAGTCTACGACTTCAACAGTCAGTTAATAATAAATGGCATTACCTTTCCCATTGTAACAGACCATGTATTTATTTTATAAGTGAACAAAAATAATGACTAAATTGTGAGAATAACTAAACATTTGCATATTGCTCAAAAAGTGAGTTATCATTATTAGGTCTTTTGTTCTTTGATTGACTGGATCTAAAAAATAAACATAACTTTGCAAGCGATTAGTGAACGTATGTATTTATTTGGTAGCAATGAGAATTCTGGAAGTCAAGGCGAAACTGAGTCATGTCATCAGTCTCCAGTATACTTGTCTTCTACTCTTCATTTGAATGAGGCCATTATTCTGTTTTGTTCCTTCACTTCATGGTTAAACTTATGAAAATGTGAATTTTGTTAATCACCCCTTTCATTCTATGACACCTCCCTCTCCTTAGGGTACTGGTGGCCTTCTTATGACTTTTTCCTGTAGGTTCTGATATCATTTTCACTCTTCCATTCTTGAAACATTTTTCTTGCAGTTTCTATGTCATCATTTTTAATTAGCGTTCCTATATTCTGTGGACAGTTTCACTTTTGCCAGTCTTTTAAATCTCAGTCCTCCAAAGTTGTATCCTCTTCCTCTTCTCATTTTACTGAGACTCCTTGGAAGATTTCATCAACATAGGTAGATGTGTTTGTACATTGAATATTTCCAATCTATGCCTCCAGCCCTAAACTCTTCTTTGAATTACATCAATAGAATTGCATTGATAAAACTGATATTACATCTTTAACTGGGCATTCTGTGCATGCTTCAGTCGTGTCTGACTCTGTGTGACCCTGTGGACTGTAGCCCACCAAGTTCCTCTGCCCATGGCAAGAATACTGGAGTGGGTTGCCACGTCCTCCTCCAGGGGATCTTCCCCACCCAGGGATTGAACCTGCGTCTCTTATATCTCCTGCATTGGCAGGCAGGTTCTTTACCACTAGTGACACCTGGGAGAAGCCAGGTACCACAGATTCAGCAAGCCAAAATTAAATTAAATGTCACTCCGCTTAAACTCACATTTCTACTTGTATTTTGCATACCTTGAGGTAGTTAGCTAGCAGTTGAGATTCAATAATATCATGACTGTCATCTTCAGTACATTCTTTGCTGCTTCACACACATATCTTCCCATATATATATTTCCAAATGTGCCTTATACAACATTGTTTACATATTAAAACATACACAGTTACTAACAATGTATGTTAGTGCATTAGTACCTTTCCAAATCCAATTTATCATAATCTACTTCTGTACTACTCACCTTTGTATAGGACTTGGACTATTGGGAAATTTAACCATCATCAAACACTGTATGTCTAAAGGTGGTGGAAGAATCGATATGTTAGGATCTTGGTAACTGCTAACAACAGGTGTATGATAGCTAAATCCAGGTGCATATTACAGAGGCTTTTAAATTTGGTCCCAAGGCCTTTGACTTTCCTCCATGTCTTGTCACTGGTTCCAGCTTTTTCTTCCTTTCAGTCTATACCAGAATTGGTCAGTTGACAAAATGTTTGGTGCTTGAGCCCTTCAAAATCCAAACGGCTGTCATCATAAGTGTTTCAATACCTTTTACATCAGGGAATGGTAAGCACAGAGTAAGCATACACTTACATCTCAGCCTTTTACTGTATGACAGCAACAATATTCTCCCTTCGTAGTCAGAATTGGTCATCCCAGACAATACGACGATGGAGACAGACTTTTCAGCCTAGAAAGGCTGTTCAAAGTCACAAAAGACCCAAAATGGCTATAAAGGACTTTGAGCAAAAGGGAGAGAATGTAACATAAGTGTTGAATTTGACCCATGTAATGTATCACACAGTGCAGTCGACATATTAGCTTCACAGGTTAGTATCCCTCAGCTGGTGTTAGTGAGGAGCTCCCAAAGTCCAGATTTTAGGTTTAACATCTATGAAGAAGATAATTTCACTGATGCTGTATGCACCCACTGCCTTTTGCTTTTCATTTTGAAATTCTTTTTCAGTTGAAAGTAGTTCTGTACATTGGTTCATGGTAATAAATAAAATATTCAATAAGCCATGGATAAAAATACTTCCCAAGACATGTTAAGCACAAAAAGAAAATTCAAATCAACAATTGGTTATGTTGGAGAAAACAAGTACTGATCTGTCCTCCCATCAGAACAGGATCAAAGTTGTCCACCTGTTACCAGGAGGCTGTCTGGTAGATAAGAAAGAAGGTACTGAGTTGGAATTGATATCTATATTGATTTCAAACCAATATTTGGAAACAAATTTCTGGGATCTACCCATTTTGTTTCATTGATTATAGAAATATCTAGAAGAGCAGCTTCAATTCCAGTTGCCATCAAATTACACTTATTGTGAAGAATATTGTGAAGCACTATCCAGATTTCCCTTCAAAAATGAAAGATTTATTTTCCTAATTTTCGAGAGTGCTGCCAGAAGATTGCTTATGGTTGGCTGCCTCCTTCAGGGATTGCCTCCATTAAGGAAAGCCACGTCTTTCAATGTTATGTCCCCTTTCTGGAAAAAAAAGTGGAGCATCCAATGACTGATTAGGGATGGTAGAAAGGTTTGGCCCTCTTATCACAATTTGGATCTTAAGAATGAACTGAAAGGTTGACCAAGGCTTTCATCGAAGACACATAATGAATTATTTATTATTCATTTCTTAATTTCTCCTTCTTCCAGCCTTGATTCCTTCCTTCTCTTCCACAATTTTGGATTCCAAGAGCTTCCCTAATAAATCTACTGTTTGTTAATAGCTATCTCAGAGTCTGATCCTAGGGAATTCAATCTTCATTTCTTAAGGAAATTCAGCATCATTCTCTAGGGTCAGTCAACTGTTTGTAACATTCCAGCTTGAGAACTGAATAGGGGAAGAATGCAGAAATAAAAGTATATCTCTCATTTTAATGGTGACTTTGAGTGAAACGTATGAAACCTCCACCACCGTTTCTATCTCTCATTTTCTCTCCCCATCTTTCCCTTATATAATTAAAAAATATTTTTTTATGCCAACAAGACCATTTTAATGGCTTTAAAAGACAAATGGTGCTATTATAAAATTAATGAGAGGAAATAAAGTTGAATATTAACGGTCAAAATCTAGAATTATAATTTTGTCAGAACACCTTTAAAACTCAATCAATATTCCTGACTATTCTAATATTTCTCTCCCAGTGTGCAATTCATACCACAATACTGGTCACTATCCTCTCCTCATTTGCCTTTGTATGCTTCATAATCCTACATATAGTTTAGTAAAATATCACTTTATTGAGGGATGATTGGTATATAAAGAGCTGTACATGGAAATGAGTAAGATGGTGGCATATGAGGCTCCTAACATCCCCCTTCCATTTGGATACAGCAAATGAACAACTATACATGGAGCAACTCCCTTTGAAAGAAATTCCAAAATTAGTTGAGTGATTCCTAAACACTAGGTAAACAAGAAAATATTCACAGTGAAATGAACAGTAAACCATAATATACTCTCTTTCTTGCTTGGCAAAGAAATATAGCAACTCTTTCCTTCTCCTCCAAAGCTCTGTCTCTTTATTTCTGTTTGGTATTTCTGCACAGAGAGCCAATATCCTTTGGCAACAGGTTCAAGAGTCTCAGAGGACTGGGGGAAAAAGAGATTCCATGCTTAGAGTCAGTCGCTCAATTGTATATAGCCCACCAGGCTCCTCTCTCCATGGAATTCTCCAGGCAAGAACATTGGAGTGGGTAACCATTCCCTTCTCCAGGGCATCTTCCTGATCCAGGGATCAAACCTGGGTCTCCTGTATTGCAGGTAGATGGTTTACCATCTGAGTCACCAGGGAAGCCCTTTAAGCCATACTTAAAGGGAACAAACAAAATGTCATGTCTCCAGGACCCAGAGCAAGAGCAGTAATTTGAAAGAAGTCAGAGTCAGACTTACCTGTTTTTCTGCAGAGTCTCCAGAGAGTCAGGAAGCAATTGGAGCTCACTCTGGGGACAGAGCCAACAGCAACAGCAATTTTGTGGAGCTTGTTACCATATGGACACTGGTGCTGTCAAACTCTATTTTATAATCTTTCCTCTAGCTTATTAGCCTCAGAACAGGACAGAGTGTCTCAGATCAAGCAATTCACTAGGCTGGTACACAGCCCCACCCACTAGGAGGCAGACCATCTTAAGATCCCCTGAGGCTTCAGCCACCCTGGACACAGCCCAGCTCACCAGAGGGCCTGGTCCCATGTATTCTTGTGCATGCACTATACCAGACCCCGCCCCCAGGCCTTGCATTCAGAGATCCAGGGACCCAGTTCCACTCACCAGTGGGCAGCCATCAGCTCCAGAACTCGTAGCCTTGCCCAGCAGCTAGCCTGCTCTAACCTCAGGACCAGCCTCATCCATTAGTGGGCAGACACAAGTCACAGGACAACCAAGGACCTGAAGCCTGTGGGCTCAGCCCACCTAACAGGACAGCACTTACCCTGGACTGGCTGGGCCCTTCCCCCATCCATTAGCAGGACAACACAAGCTTCAGGATACCCTAGACCTTGCGGTCAGCTGTGTCGGGAAGCAGCGCCACCCAGCAGCAGCTTGATACAACCATAGGACCCCTGGGTCTTGTGGTCAGACCCCAGGCTTTACCAGGCAGTAGGCCGCACTAACTTCAGGATCTGATTTATAAACCAGTGGGCAGGTGTCAGCCCTGTGATCTCCAGGACCATACCCTGCCCACCGGTGAGCCAGCACTAGGCCCTGGGTACCTCAGGGCACATGACCCAGCCTCACCACACAATGGCTGACAGCCTCCACACAAAGCAGGATATGACAACCAACTAGTCCAGGGGCCAATGAAGCTTACCAACGAAGCTGACTACTCTGGCAAGAGTAGTCAGCCTGCCACAAAAGAAGAATTAATGCAGCCCATATAAGAGGAAACCCTAGACCATATAGCTCTAGTTTTCAGAGGGGGATGTGCTGCTTGGATGCATAGAACATCTCCTACAAGATACATAGAAATAAAAACAATTAA